TGGAAAAGCTAATCTATGTGTTTTTCAGATACCTGCTTATTCTTTATGTGTCTCTAGAGTTTCTACTAAGTAAATAAATGTTGATGCTATAGCTGTTAGCAGAATATCAATATTTCCATTCAAGGAATGTTTTGACATCCAGAGAAACATATTTGGGAACATTTAGGCAAACACTGACACCACTCCCACCACTATGAAAGGTAACTATGAATCCATCACAAATAGCTGGTTAGCTTAGCTTAGCATCAAAACTGGAAACTGCGTGGGAAAATGTGTGCTCCCTGGAGTGTTGTTGTGACTTTGAAGCTGCCAGGCAAGGTTACTGTATCTTCCATAATAACAGCTGAATAGAAACATAAAATGATATGTAAATCTCTCTACTGAGGGGAGTTATTTATATACATTTTTGAAACATAAAGTTTATTTTAGTTTCTTTGACTTTTCATGAATTCTTAGTATATTATTATCATTATTCATTAATATATATTTCTGCTCTTTTCCAATGTGGCTGCTTGTTGATGAGCATACACTGCCTATGATTGTGTTCCGTTCTGTTCAGGTCAGGTCTGGCTGTTCTCAGGTCCCCTCAGACTGAGTTCCTTTTTTTTGATAATGAATTTCTGCAGTTGGTTTCAAGCTCCATCATTTTGGGCCAGTGAAGACCCATGGTAAGAAAAATAAATTCTGTCAAACATTCACTCCTGCCTCTCATTGTTAAGGTTATTACCTTGTGCATCACATGTGTGCTCACAGACGTAAGTAGGAAAATCAACTTGAAAGAGTAAAAGTTCCCAGTCCCCAGGGGAAAATAAGCTCTTCTGTAAGAGCATGACATATTGCACAGAGAGCTTTAGAGCTGCTGGTAGATTTGTTACCTTTGGACAGCGCCAGGCTAGCCATTTCCAGACGATGTGCTGTGCTAAGCTAACCAGCTGCTTACTGTGGGTACACATGTACCTTACAGAGCGCAAGAAAGTCTCTGGCTCTTGCCACGATAACAAATAAGTGAACTTCACTAAATATTTAAATATTAGTTTACATTACATAACATCGAGCCTGTTTCTGTCATGAGCAATTTATGTTTCACAGCAAATAAGTTATGATTCCCAGCTGGCCTGGGAACGGCTTGGGGTTCCTCCTGAGGAGCTAGAGGAGGTGTGTGGGGAGAGAGAAGTCTGGGAGGCTGTGCTCGAACTACTGCCCCCGCAACCCAGTCTCAGATAAAGCGGACAAAGATGGATGGATGGAAATAAATAAAATTTTCTAAATGACATACACATTAGTGTAACAAAGCACCTTTTTCCAGTGTCATGTGCTGGATCAGCCACAGGAATCTATTACAGGGATGCTTTGGTGACACTAAAAAATTACGCTGTGTAACAACCATTACAGCCAAATCACTTAAAGGGCTGCTTCTTTTTGCATCTTTTTATAAATGAGTTTGAATCCAGCTGACCAGAGCACATTTTTCACAAAACCATCAGATATGATAAAAGGTAAGTAATCTACAGTACTTCTGTGGATCGATGGCTCATTTTTAGTTCCTCCAAACAAGAAGACAGCCAGGCAAAATGAGAATTAATGGTCAGAGATATCGCTTTTTTATGGAAAAACAAAATAACAAAAAAAAAAAAATGTGTTTTTTGTCATACAGTAGTTACTTTTCACAGCATCCTGTGCCGTATTGTCATTAATATATTTAATTTACACCAGTGTGCGTGGTTCCACTTCACACATGCAAAGTGATGTGTTCAAAAATGACACATCCTTATTTAGACACTATTCTACTCATGTGGCTAACCTTTATTTGGCAAGTGAGCAACAAATATTGAAAGCTGTCAACCTCCCTTCACATGATGGAAGCCTGCCTTCTGTGCATTTACACACGGATGAAGTGCAAGCTGCCATCTTGGCAAGTAGAGGCAGTATATTTTGACCGCTCATCTCTTTATTTTTTTGTTCCTGACATTTTAAAGCCAGGGCTCATATTCTAGTGCCTAAAAATTAAACAAATATTTTTAGGATAAAATATATTCACAGCTGCAGGATTTGTCAGGCAAACACTGATTAGCTCCATGGAGCCATTAGTGTTTAACATAACCAGCAGAGGGACATGGGGTGCCACATTTCTGAGTGCAAATACAGGTAAAAATGAAAACAACTTGATGAATGATTAAGGCTTGTGCTGGCCTAAATTGCTACTTTGAAAACTAGGTTGCTCATCAGAATGGTCCTATTACACTGCTTCTAACCCTGCAAGCTTTAAAAATTAGTTCAGTTGAACATTATAATTATACATTTTTAGTGTAGTTTGTCAGACACATCTTCAGTCAGTTAGTTGTATTGTACCAGCAGTGGCACAGCTTCCATTGTCCTCACTTCATCTGCCCCTCACATCCCACTTTAATTATCTTTGATCGAGATCTCCTCACCTTGTTAATGATTGTAAATTCTGCCTAAGTACCAGGATTGCCTTTGCCTGAGACAGTAGGATTTTCACCTTGATATTTTCTGAACTACCTTTGCAGGGGATGATCCAAGAGTGGACGACAACCAATGCTCCGTAAGCACAGAAGTGGATGGCATACAAGACAGAGAGAGGGCTTTTATTTAAATAATCTGCCACAGAAAGACCACAGAACTGCACGGTTCAAAGTGGTCATCAAAATTCATACTTGGTGACTTCAGTTTGCGGTGTTGAAGCCAACCTACTGAGCTGTGCTGAAGGAAATCTATAGAAACAAATTAACTCTAAGTCTGTTGGTCTGGGCATGTGCAGAAGATAACAGGCTTCAATTACAGAGCTCTTTCTCCTAATTGAAAATGCAGCTAATAGCTTAAGTGCTTGCTATCTGGGACAGCTAAAATATTGTGCAGGGGGTTCCCTAGCATGGGGGCATTTATATTATGTGTCTGACTGTTGGGTTGAACCCCAGAGCAGCCTTTTTCAGATACACCGAGTCTTTCACTTTCATCTTTCTTGACATCTCCACTTTGTGCTGTTCAATAAAGCGAAAAAGCCGTCTCATATATCAGAATAGATTGTGCTGCATTGCCTGTATTGTGATGCAAATAGCCCTCAACACTACCACTGACTGCACATGATGGGCTTCTTGTAGTGCAACCTATAGTGAAGTCTGACACAAGTTGCATGGCTAATAAATACGATATTGTACTAGATCAAATAATTCAGCTGTTCAAAGCAGTCTGAAAGTGTAAATGCACCACTCTCACTTAAAGATGCATGAAAAACCTGGTGCACTGCTATACTGTGTTCTTACTTTGCATTGCAGTGTTTGGCACAAAAAGTAACAGACAGAGAAAAAAAAATCCCATTACATTTTTAACAACTCAGGCTGCTCCCCTGAGCTGTAGAGGGCAAGGAATAACAAAGCTGAGGGAAGTCTCGGCTCCTTACCTCTGATGGGCTATTAGTTATTCTAGCTAGCAGAAGCCCCATTAGGTCTGCCATTTAATGCTCCCACGCCACATTCTCACATGAAAGCTACAAGACTGATAAGCCGACCATCTCACCTCAAGCTTCCCTTGTGTTTGAAAAATGCTCTTCCACAGATAATCTGACAAAGAGCTGATTTAACTACCCATGTACCTGGCACTATCTGACATTGCTGAAAACAGTGAAACATATTTGAGCTAGCCTCTCCAGTGACTTCAGTAATGTACTGTACACAACAGGAATGTAAGTGGTGCTACAGTACAACCCCTTATTTTATGAGATGATTTATATGATCCACATGGAATATAGGAAACGAGCTATGTGGCAGTGTGAGATAAAACTTTGTCTCTGAGCTGCACTGACAGATACCAGGGAGGGGAAAGACATCTCCTGTACTCCACAGCATGTCTGGTTAGTCTGACAAAAGGTGCAGCTATGATTCCAGTGGCACTACATCTTTCCCAACACAACATGTCCTGTTAATCACACTTAACCATACTGCCAAATGAAAAAAGCTGCCAGACAAAAGAAGACAGATGCACAGCATTAGAAGAAAAAAACTGTACACAGGCAAAGAAGTGCCTAATTAAGCATGAGCAAGTTGATTAGTCTTTCTGTCGAGGCTTTCTGTCTCTCTGTGCCATACAGCAATTTAGAGTCAGTCACGTGGAGGAGTTTGACTTTAGGATGGGAATTTCACTTTGAATTCTCTGGACAAAGGTTTCACTTGTGTGGCTGAACTGTCTCGTCTGAGTAAAACAAAAGTAGCATAATGCCACTAGTTACTTCAGGAGCACCCAAAATCCAGACAGAAATCTGCAGATCCAAATGCATAATTTCTTTCTTTTAGCTGCAGGACTTTATAATGTTCCTCAGCCTGCAGTGACAGTTTAACCTTTGTATAATAAAACTAATGATTAAAATCTCAAGAACATGAAAGCTAAAGGCAGAATGACAGAATGGCATACATGATCCGCTGGCACAAATGAAAATATTTAAATATTTAATACAGCAAAAACAAATATCAAGACTCACATAGCTTGTATGTTTGCTACTACAGCTGTTGTATCAAACACACAGGATAGGAGAGGACCACCTGCACGGTGACTTAATCTAATACATTTTTATCATTCCACTCTGGACAGGAAGCCATTTGTGAATAAATAGCAGGCTTGGTGATAATACTCAGATTCATCAGTGAGGTATTTTATGTCAGGAATGAAAGATGAACCTACTTTGATTATAATGCATCCTACTGTATGGGTGTTTTCTGGGAGAAAGAGCTGCCACACTACTTCTAGCTAATGGGAATCATATTTTAGCAATGAAACTGCATGATTCAGAAGAACAGCTGGGTAATCACATGGAACTGAACAAATCCAGCATACTGCAAAACAAGTCACCATGCACTGACCTTTATTTCCTTATCCCAAAAACAGACAAGAGCAGAGAAGCGAAAAAAGTGTTTTCTCTGCAGATTGTTAGAAAATTTACCTCTCATGCCTCGCAGTGGAAATGGATTTTTGGAGGGCAACGGTCATACCTCGCATTCCCTGGAGCCTGAGATGGTGTATGTGTAAGGTCCTGTCCCATTAACCAGCACATCCATAGTCTCTGAGTGTGACGGTTTGTAGTCCACATAGTACTCTTGCAATGGTGAATTAAGGGAGCGTTCAGTCTCCCGTGTCTTTTTCTGGCGCTTTTTAACCCCGGAGCGTTGCTGGAGCTGTTTAATACTACTGGGATAGCGCTTCCATGAGACATAGATAACCAGTAAAATTATAGCCACAGATAAGAGGAGGGCCATGCTACCAGCAATGATCTTGTGAAAGGAGACATACTCAGTGTCTGGTAAAGGGATGGTCGGGGAGGCCTCGGAAGGAGTCGGGGAGGCTGTCCTGTTCCACATCAGCTTCTTGTCCACCACAGACTGTGTTGGAAGGGGCAGCAGCTCAGCATGATATGCAGAAGTCAGGGGTGTTGTCGTGGAGGGAAGGGGGGTCGGTGTTGCTGTACAGATGTTATAAGTCTCCACCACATCAGTCACTTTCTCTCCTTGTGCCTCCTTAGGGCTGGCACAAATCATAGTGGTCTCCTTGTTACCCTTAAAGGCCTTGAGCCATGCCACCAGGGGACATATGTTGGGATTACAGTACCACAGGTTACCAGCCAGGCTGATGGTGGTGAGGGAGATCCAAGCCTCCACTGTCTGCTGGGACACATTGCTGAGTTTGTTGGAGTCCAGATTAAGAGTCTGAAGATTAGGGAGGCAGTGAAATGTACTTGGTTCCAACATTTGGAGCTCATTTCCTGAGAGGTCCAGCTTTTGCAAGGAAGTCCACATCCATGGCAGGCCCTGGGTTAGCATTTTGATACGGTTCCACTGCAAATAGAGTGCCCTCAGATTAGTCAAACGGGGGAAATGAGCAAAATTTATCTTTGAAAACTGGTTGTGCTCTAAATGAAGCTCAATGAGTTTGAGGAGTCCTGCAAAGGCATTACGTGTGAGGCTCCGTAGCCTATTGTAGCCAATATCAAGAAACTCCAGGTTGCGACAATCAAGAAAAACTCGCATTGGGACAGTTTTTAAGGAATTTGACCTTAAGTGTAAGCTCAGTAATTTCCGTAGCCCCAGGAACTGATTAGGCTGGAGGACCTGCAGTTTATTGTAGGAAAGGTCAAGATTACGTAGATTAGGAACATCATGGAAAGTGTTGTTTTTTAGCTGTGTGATCTTGTTCGAGCTGAGAATCAGTTCTTTGAGCCTCCGTATACCATGGAATGCTTGGCCATCCACAGCACTGATGTAATTGTGGTCGAGGTAGAGCCAAACCAGTTGACTCAGGCCTGCAAACTGGTGGGCTCTGAGGTTCACCAAGCTGTTATAACGCAGGGACAGGCCCTGCGCGCCTACAGACACATTGCTTGGCACATCACGAAAGGCATTGGATTCACAGTATATTATTTTCCCATCACATCTACAGTTCTGGGGGCAGGGACGCTCACGAATGCCGCTTGGAGCAGCAAGCAGCCAGGCAGGCACCACCACTGTGAACACAAGCCATCTGAAAAGCACGGGAAGTCCTGCGGACACAGAAAAGTGTGTAATTTAAGAGTATAAAATGTATCAAAAAGAACTAATATGTACAGTCTAATATATAAGACAAAATACAATCAAAATTTTATTGATTCAATAAACCATACTTTATCAAACATACTGTTCTAAGGCTTTTGATAAGGGGATTTGTTGTAGCCTACTTCATTTGCATCCCTGTGTTCATGGCAAATCAACACACACACGCACTTACATCCATTATCACAGTCACGTTCTTGACACATCTAAAAGGTTACTGATAACCACATGCATCAGGCGTAATCTGTCAAATTGTTGATGAGAGAGAAACCTCCTTCAGATCCCCAAGCCTGCAGTCCTTGTTCATAAACCGCAGAGAAGCAAAAACACTGGCAACAATCTCTTTAACTGAACTGTAATTAGGCAAACGACTCAAGACTTTTCGTCAAAAACGAAGGTTTTAAGTCTGTTGCAGAACAGGGTACATACCCATATTTGCGCGGTGTCGGATCCTCCTCATGTTTAGAGCTCGCTGTTGCATGCGTCCCAGGTCCACATCTTAGACGCACTCGGTGTTTTGTCTAATTAGTTGGACAAGCACACAGGACGCCTGTCTGCACGAAAAAAATACGCACTTTGCGCCGCAGTCAGATCCGCTTTGCGCACAGCTGCACACCTGTCGGAGATGTGAGCAGCTCCAGAAGGTGTACATCAACCTCTGTCTGTAGTTTCCTACGTTACCGCACAGCATCAGCTTTATATCGCATTTCTCTGACTGCCACCTGACAGAGCCTTTGGATGGACAATGGAGAATGACATTGTTTAGCGCATGTTATGGAGGGCTATATGACACATCTTAAACACCGAGTTGCCGATTGTTAGGTTAAGTGGCAGAAAAGAGACTGGAAACAGACTAAGTGAAGAAATCCGAGAGGAATTAACTGCGTTACAAACCCGATAAGTTGGATGTAAGCTGATTCAGATGTGGACAGCGGAAGGAAAAGGCGCAGTCTGCTGTAGATTAGACCCTCTGACCGTGGCATCAAGAATAAATCAGTTGTATAGCAACAGGAATGATGTTGGTGTAGGATTGTAGTGAGCTCCCTGGTGCTCGTTTCAGGACTTGAGGTGCCCTCTTCCGGTCACAAAGTGACTCTCCACAGTACACCCTAGTATACTTCATTGTCCTCAGGAATAAAGCCTGCATACCAATGTTAATTTTTAAAAATTGTGCCTGCAAAAACTGCCCCATACTCAGTCAGTAAGAGCTCCAAAAATGGACACGGCCAAAACGAGCACCCCTGTGCTCTGTGGATAAGAGACATTTGGATAAACTGACATTTTAATAACATATACAGCCTACCATAGTAGAAAGGGTTAAAGCTGAGCAATGGAAAGACTGTTCAGCATTTAGATAGGCTATTTCAAGCAAAGCGCTAATTTCAGACTTAGATAGATAGATAGATAGATAGATAGATAGATAGATAGATAGATAGATAGATAGATAGATACTGCAGGTAAACAGACACTACTTAAGTGTAAATAGAAGTAAGCTTACTCATTATACATATTGATATTACTGATACCCAGTAATTTAATTTAGGTAAACTTAATGCATCACATTTTAGATGTCTGTCATGTTCATGTTTGGTATAAGAGTCACACCTGCACATAACTAGTAACTCATGCAGGTGACTAAAAAGTTCCATGATTTTCTTCAAAATGTGGTGGAGCAGAAATAAAATGGAGTGACACAACTAAAGTATCTCAAAAATGTATTTAATTATGTGACTGAAGCCCACTGCTTCACTGCTGAGTCTAATTATGCATTTGTTTGCGCTGTGGTGCCACCTAAAGCATTAATTGGTATTTTATACCATGTACCTGACAGTGTATCAGCAGTATAGCCAGCTCTATTTTTAACTGCCGTTGCCTGTCTTCAAAGTCTGAACTGTAACTACAAGTGCCACCAACCAACTTCAGAAGCCCTCAAGTGGTTTTAATCTGGATCTGGGGCTGTATCTAAAGAACTATTGGCAAATCCTCAGATATTAATATTTGATGCTTATTAGTGATTCAGGCAGGTAGAGCTATAATAAAAAAGCCAGCCTGTTAGATGGAAATGTAAAACACAGCAGCAGGCAAGTAAAAAAGTATTTCCTGCAACTATTTATAGGACTCAGATGTAATTAAATCCAATCATATAGTCAAGCATTTCTTAGTCTATGCATTTCTTTCTTATATTTTCTGATTTATCGGAATTACAATAAGCACATTGTTTGAAATTTAGCCAGGAATACTTAAAAACTGTGTTGAAGTACTTTTGACAGGCAGTGTAAAATTGGCATATAAAGGAAAACAGCAGATGGCTTGTCAAGCGTGTGGTTATTTTTATCCAATTTATTTGGCTTTAAGTGTTGTGTTTTAATGTATGCCAAGGGTAAAAAAAAGTTGTTCAGTTTTTTTAGTCACTACTCACTGTTGCATATTGACAATGAAATGCATCATGCGTAAACAGTGGATGCTATCAAGAACTCATAATGGGACTTGAGTTGGGTCAAAGTCATCAATTCTAATGGATCCCTCTGCCCCTGTACTTAACGAGGAGCATAATTACTGGTATTAATGAACATTTGAGCTCAAATTGCAGGTAGTTTGTGACCAAAAAAAAATGGTGGAAATAAAAATGTAACTGATTTAAAACTGATTAGTCACTGATTTAATTTCCATTGTTAAATCAATCATCTAACTAGAATTGGACAGGGCAGGAGCCCACACACACACACACACACACACACACACACACACACACACACACTACTCTCTCTCTCTCTCTGTGGTGGAAATCACATACATTTACCCATACACTGTATGTACCTCACTTGAGTGCTACCTCATGCTTCCACTTCATTACATTTCAGAGGCAATATATTGTACTTTTTACTGCACTGCATTTATTTGACAACTTTAGCTACTAGTTACTCAGAATCTAATTAATAAATACTCATATAACTTTACTGGTCCCCAGTGTACCCAGCAGTATGTAAACAAATTCACACTGTATGCATATGAGGTAGTTAGTAGTTAATTAGTTCCAACTTTACCAGCTGCAATGTTAAAGTGATGTACACAATAAAGGGGCAATAATTATTATCCAATACACATTAATTTGAAATGTGCCATTTTGCATTATGACAAGTTTTACTTCTGATAAAGTAACCTTACCCTTGTATATACATTGCAGCAAACTCTTTTTTCACACTATTTGCCCATTCACACATTAGTTTAAGGCCTTCAGGAGCAACTTGTGATTAAGGCTAGTGTCTTTCTCAATTAAGGACACGCATAGAAGGATAAGGACAATCACCTTTATTGGCCAGGTATGTTACACATAAGGAATTTGTTTCCGGTACAGAACAGGTCAGACTGTCAACTCAACCGATGGCTCTAACCATTGGGGGGTTCAGTGTCTTGCCCAAGGACACTTTGACACGTGGAGTGCAGGCACTGACATTCGAAACTTCAACCTTCCGGTTGGAGACAACTGCTCTACCCACCGCACCACTGTACCGCACTCCAGGAAGAAGAGGAGAGCTAACACTACTGACTGAGCCACAGCCACTCATATATGTCAAGAATATTTTGATACTAATCCTTTTGTACTTATACTAAAGTAACACTGAATGCAGAACATTTACTTATAAAGGAATATTTGTACATTGTAGTATTTCTGCTTTTACCTATGTATTGGATCTGAATACCTTTTCCACCACTTCTCTCTCTGACTGAAAATATGGCAAATACAGTCACACCTTTGAATGTCCTTCAGTGAACCTCACACTCAAGTGTGACTCCATATGCAGAAGACTAAAATAACAGACATATTTGTTTTACACTGCAAACATTTTGTTAAGTCATTGCTGTAAGAGTAGTGCTTTCATTTTTCAACAAAGTATTAAAAAAATCATAAAAATGTTTGAAAAAAAAAACAAAAAAACAAAACCAGATCAGTGTTGTTTTTTGTAAATTTAAACATCAGCTCAAATGTGAACATTAAATTTAATAATGTGTGAATTTATGGAAAGTATTCAGCTTATTTTCTCAGGCTGGTTTTCTAAAGCTTTGTATATGTACATGCTGTGGTATAAAATAGTGAGGCTTCTGCTATCTAGAAAAAGTGTATTTTTTTCAAAAGCATCTGAGACCTCATTAGAGGGTAAATTAGAAAGAGCAGTGGCCCAAGAATGGATACTTGAAGTACCCCTGAAAGTACTGTAGCTGTGTCAGGGTTATGCTTTTTGATAGTACTGTACAATATGTTGTTATGTACTATTATCAGATTACTTCAGACCGTTCCATTTGACAAAAATACATTTCTATGTGGTATATCTGTGGTTGAAGTTATCATTTGTAAAAAGAACAGTCTGTCTCTCTGTCATTTTGGTTTATATATTGTTAAATTTATAAGTGATAAGTGAAAATGAATAACCAGCACATTGTTTTTATGTGATCATCCCATGCTACATTTTAGAAATTCTCTATGGTCTGTGCATCAATTCTCTTTTATATTGTTGAACAAATCTGTCATGACCCACTTTCACATTTCATTTTCTGTAACTTTTTTGTGTATTTGCTATAAATGGCATACATGAGCAGTGATGCTATGGATCAGTATATTTATAGTCAGCTTTCAACAGTGGAAAGAATACCTCTACCTCAACGTCTATTAACTCTACTAACTTGAATGTTTTCTTACTTTTGTATATTTCAGAGGAAATGTGACTGCTTGTCAAAACATCCTTCAAATAAAATGACTTAGATTTCACGGCCTGCTGACTCCATGATCACCATCTGTAGTGTTTGATAATGTGCCCTCAAGCATCATCAAGTAAAATGAACCCAGTGAGAGAACAGAATGGCACTCTCTTGACATGAAAGCATGAAAACCGGTGCCACAAACAACAAAGGTATAGCACGACCATATGCACTCACCTCACTTTGCAAATAACTCAGCCACCAAATTGCTTCCTATGAAACTTTAATGACTGTCTATGACCGACTGAGCTCTGAATAATAGAGTGAGTGAAGGACCTGCTTTTTGCAGCATAATGAATCCTGCTGACCCAGTGTAGACATGTAGACAAAACTAGGCAAGAGAGAGACTTAAAATTGTGCTGAAGCAGGTTCTATTTACTCTGACCCTGACTTTTCAATGCGAATTACACATAAAAAAAACATCCCTGCAGCAGGTAGATAGTTCTGATTCTTGATTTTTCTCTGATTAAATGAGTGAAGTTTTGCCTTAAAATTGACCTTCATGTTACCATAAATCATTGATTATGTTTGTGTATTCACATGAAAATAAAAGATCTTAAAGTTAGGCCTGTGCTTTAAAACCCAACTGGACAAGAGGAGATGGGGAATGTATTTTATTATGGGGAAAAAAATAAATTCATATTCTGACACACCAGCAGTAGAGGTGCTACAACATGCATGAAGTTAATGAGAGAAAGGTGTCTGAAAACATCATTAAAGGTAAAACCGGCACACTTCAGACTCTTTTCCTCAGCCCCTTTCCACAGAAAATGATGATAGTGAAGCTTTAAATGGTAGTCTACCTTTATGAATACTGTTCTCATGCATAAGACAACACACTTCAGCAAAGAAACCTGTGAGAATCAGCTGATTTTGCATTATAGAGATGATGATAATGGGCCTCTCCATTTAAATCCTGAGTCAACCAGGCATAATACAGTACTTGATCGTTTCCTACGAAATGAGCTGTTTCCTGCATCACAGATGTAAACGTTCTTCCTTTGCAACTCTGTTTATTTTGTTTTTCATTTTACATTACCTCATACATAATTCATAGATTGAAAAATGCTGTACACAGGAGACAGCTGGGAGAAGAGCTTTCCTTATCAAAACAAGGTTCACCGTTGTGTCTATATGGTTCTACTCCGACAGGTACAATCTAAAGACAAGTGAAACTATTTTGGAAGGTTATCAAGTTCATGACATATTATTATATTTACATCTTTTTTTTTTTTTTTTAAATAAAACACATTAAACATTCAACACTTTTGGTTACTGGAAAGAAATTCTCTTAACAGACAAGAACCTTTTACATAAACAATAAAAAGTGGGATAATTATTGGAGCTATCAAGTTTAGCAGAGCATCCAAAAATGACTTTCACCAAAACCTGATAAACTTTTTGAATCATTACAGATTTCATTTTGGAGGAATAATCTAACAAATGGCAAACACGTTAGTGTGACACAAATATGTTTATATCTTATGTAATAATAAATACTTCCCGTTTTTACATTTGGGATCAGAAGCCACTACTTATTTCTCTTTTTCATTATAACTTATAAACAATACTCCTCTAACTACCTGCATGTAAGGAATTAGTTGTTTTTTTGCTTGTTTGTTTGTTTGTTTGTTTGTAGTATGGTTTTCTCCTACTGAATTTGCTCTTTATGTGCAATAAAATTTTTAATGAAACACTTGAGTTTGAGTGACTGAGAGTCATGTGTTTGGATGAGTGACGAGGTGTTCTAAAAATCCTCCACACACAGTTATAAAGGGAACAGTTTTTGGAAAATAGGGATTCAGTGAGAAGAGTAGGAAGTCATTGGAAAATGATCACATTATCTGTCAAACCATCTGTGTGTATATTAAAATGACAGCAATTACAGGAAAGTGCAGATACAGTGTGGTGCATCGTGCATATGTACAGCACAGCAGGCCTTCTATGAGTCAACAAATATCAACAATTCATAAGCTCCTGCTTTATCTACATTAACATCATTTTGTAAAGATACAGTCACATTTTTCTTTCTCTGAATGGATTTGAAACAGGCTAACAGTGAACTGGGAACATCTCAAAGTGTGATGTGTCATTCACTTTCTCTTCTCTATATGTCTTCTCTCATTGGTAGTTAGAGGACAGTAGTTGTCATATCTGAGGCTGATTATATTGTCATGTTTCGAGATGTGGCTGGTATACGCACACACACTGTGCTGAAACCACCACACAGTGTTCTTCTGCCATGCAGCCTCTGCTTACGGCATCATTGTGGAACAGCACATTCCCACACCTTAGACACACTTTTCTTGAATGGCATGTGATCTCCCTAGACATGTACGAGGCTGCTTACCCTTTGAAGAGCAGATTGTATTTGACATTCAACTGCAAAATGTGCTACCATAAGTCTGGGAGGTTTTATCTTAAGAGAGTGGCTGATTTTCACACCTCTTAGATGTGGAGTTCATGGAGCAGACTTCATAAATGTGTCAGAGGAAAACTTGTTTGGTCAAGAATATTAACATACTCCTGATCAAATATTGTTATGAATTTATTAGCTCATTTCTTTTTAACCACAAGTGATCTGGATGCTGATTTCTCACTTACCTTTGCTGATGTCATGATCATTGTCAGTGGCTCTTAAAACTGGATATTTCTCTTTGCATGCACAAGAGGTTGCTGTTACCACACATTACAACTCACACTCCTTCTGTGCACTCAGAAATGGTGTTTTCCACTTGTCTGGGTCCAATGTGATGAATGTCTGTTCAAAGCAGAATGAGCAAAGCGTAAAAATGAGCACAAAATGACCACAGAATTACAGGTTTCCTTATGTCCTCCTAAGCATGCCTCCCTTGCTCTGTTGTCTGTTGGCAGAACACTTCATAAGGGCTAATACCAATAGTTCTACTGTTGCCACCTCTTCAGCAGCATCTCCAGACACCAAGAGGTGTTAACTGTTTATCTCCATCAACTTCCCCTGCTGTCTGAGAGCGTGGATGGATGTTGTGTGTCAACATCACACTTAAGCTGTTAGCGTAATTATTATGTGAACAAGCGACTGAGAAATTCTTCCTGTTATAGTGTGAATGAATGAATTAGTGAACAAATGGTGAATCTGGAACATAATTACCCCCCCCCCCCCCCCACAAGCCTCGCCCAGGGGCTAAAGTAACCAATTTTGTCACTTTATTTTTTGAATTCTCCCTACTGAGCAAACTAAATATAGCTTAACTTACAGTTTTTGCATTCATGACTCATATAGTCTTAATTCACTCACAGCACAACATAGGACATACACACTTATTAAAAACAAATGATTTTAAAAATGATTCAGTAAATTATATAATATCTGGGTTTACGTGGTTGATATAGGCTATAGAATATTTGAAAGCTTATATATGTATGTGTGCTTAAAACGCCTACGCTTGAAAGAAAGGAGAAAGAGGCAGAGAGATGGAGGGGATACGCAGAAAAAAAAGAGGGAGTGAGGGGAGAGAGCACGAAGTAGAGGACTGTGCATCATCCGCTGGCGCACAAATAGTTATTGCGCACACAGGAGGAGACTGAACTATAGCGGCGACTCCAACTACGACCCAAGTGTGAAGACGTCCCATTTGTGAGCGCAGGACAGAGATCAGGGGGCTCTGGACGCTGCGGAAAACTTGTCTTCATTTCAATTTCGCCTCTCATTGAAGGCAGAAGTGATGCTCCGCATGCGGACCGAAGCTGTCGCTGCGTGAACTGTGATCTTCTCATCTAGGGGCAGTTTAATGTGCTCTTTATCCATTTCTTTCGGAGGATTGCGCTTTCCCTAGGTGACGATGCGTAAGTCATCCTGTTCATTTTGTTTTAGTGACACAGTTTCTCCCTCTTGGGGCTCTCTGTAGCCAAGACGACAGCTATGACCAGTTTTAACAGACAGATTTGTTTGTGCCTAACCTGAATTTCTCACATTAAAAGAACAAGGTGGTGTCCTTTATAAACATACAAGTGTTTATTTAATTGCCGTTTGCCTCCATATGTTTTTCAGTGCCAGAATATTTTCATATATCCATCAATTAAAAGTAGCATATGTCAGACTGCCATCAATTCTTCATGAAGCAGGTCTGGTACTGTTTCATACATCAGACTTCAAGCTGCTTGATGTCTGTCTGAAGAATGAATTTCTCTTTGAGCACACATTGTCTAAAACCAAGTGATCTCTTTGATTGCCTGTGCCCCACTTTACCTCCAACAGGTTCGGTGATGTTGGGCTGGAGGTTGTCATGTCTTCTTCTGCAGGCAGCTGTTTTGCTGCTGCCCAGCAAGGGGGAGAGGATGTGTCCTGTGACTTGCCGCTGTGATGGAAAGATTGTTTACTGCGAGTCTGGCATCTTCCAAGACATACCAGAAAACATCACCACAGGATGCCAAGGTCTGTCACTGCGTTATAACAACCTGCTGGTTCTGTTGCCGTACCAGTTTGCTCATCTCAGTCAGCTTATCTGGCTTTACTTGGACCACAACTCCATCAGTGCTATAGATGCTTTAGCCTTCCGTGGTGTGCGCAGGCTCAAGGAACTGATTCTCAGCTCCAACAAAATAACCCATCTGCACAATAATACGTTCAGTGCCATACCAAACCTGCGGAATCTGGACTTATCTTATAATCAGCTGCAGTCTCTACAGCCGGGTCATTTCTATGGCCTACGCAAGCTACAGAATCTCCACCTTCGATCGAACGGACTCAAGCAGATTCTCATTCGCACATTTCTGGAGTGCCGCAGCCTGGAGTTTCTAGACTTGGGCTATAATCGCTTGCGGAGCCTCACTCGTACAACATTCTTAGGCTTGTTCAAGTTGAAAGAACTTCATCTAGAGCACAATCAATTTTCCAGGATCAATTTCTATATTTTCCCACGCCTTATCAACCTCCAGGCTCTTTATTTGCAATGGAACCGCATACGATATATCAGTCAAGGTGTGCCTTGGACCTGGCACAAGCTACAGAAATTGGACCTGTCAGGGAACGACATCCAAATCTTGGACCCAGTTGTTTTCCAGTGTATGCCAAACTTACAAATACTCAGCCTCGAATCGAACAAGCTGAGTAGTGTGCCTGTGGAGGCTGTGGCAGCATGGACCTCCCTGACAACCATTAGCTTGGCCGGTAACGCCTGGGACTGCAGCCCCAGCATCTGCCCTCTCATGGGTTGGCTCAAAACCTTCAGAGACTCCAAAGACATTAGCATGATATGTAGCAGTCCCAAGTCTGTGCAGGGTGAAAGAGTCGTGGATGTAATGAGAAACCACTCGACATGTGTGGACATGTCAAATGTGTTCACAACCACAGCTCTCATCATTCTGACTTCAACCCAAGTTTTGAACATCACAGCTCACCCTGCTTCTTCAGGTGTTACAGACCTAGCTCATACTGAGTCACCTGCACAGAAATTAACCCCTTCAACGGTCCATCCTAATGGGACTCGCAGAAAGACAGCAGAGTCCACAACAATGAGCTCCACATCACCCATCTCCCATGAACCTCCCACCTCATTTGTTCCAGAAGTACAATTTGAATATCTGGCTTTCCACAAAATCATTGCAGGCAGTGTAGCCCTGTTCCTCTCAGTGTCCTTGATCCTTCTGGTTATTTATGTCTCGTGGAGACACTATCCTAACACCATGAGGCAGCTGCAGCAGCACTCCGTCAACCATAAGCGCAGGAAAAAAGTCCGCAAGCAGGAGCAGGATCTTAACTCTCAGTTACAAGAGTACTATCTGAGCTACCATTCAAACTCAGAGACTATGGACTCTTTGGTGAATGAGACAAGGCCGTGCACGTGCACCATATCAGGATCCATAGAATGCGAGGTCTGAGCTGCCCATTCCACCTTAAGAGACTAAAAGTGCAATTGCTAAGCAGAGGTAAATGTTTTTGTTCCACAACATTAAGTGGATTTATCTCTAATGTGAAATGATAGATTCTTCAGCACTGAAGGAAATACTTGGGGGCATAGCTCATTATAATTATGTGCACAGAAAAGAAGATTGGAACTGAGAGATATATTTGGAGAGACCTTATTATCACCCTGACCGACACGAGAACAGCGGCAGGGTCATCCAGGTTAGCTGTGTAGTAACAACTGGACCACTGCTACATTAGAAGTCAGCTCTGTAGAGAGGCTGACCTTATTCTTAGTCAACCTATATTACCATAGAATATGAACCAGCAAAGTCACTTTTTACTTGCTAGTTTATTTTTATTTATTTAGTTATTTATTTATTTTTTACAACATACCATAGGTTGTAAAGCACTTGGGCTGTACTGTATGTGTGCATCTTGGAGTGTATGTACTGTATGTGTGTCAGTGCATTATGGGGATGAGCTCATTATCTCCTGGCTTACTGACTTCTGGTTGGAAGAGTTATGGTGCTGCACCTTATTCTCACAGATACTATTAGTGCAGTTAAACTGGTTTGTCCTACTACTGTAGTACAGTAATTCATTGCAGCATTACCACAAGAAACTGGGGAAACATGGAGTGAACATCTTGTCCTGAGGTCTTTTGCATGAAGTCACCCTTCTTACTTAAGATGCTTGTCCCTCTCCTATAGAATAATTGGTTCTAATTGACAGAAAATAAATGCCTTTTGGTTCCTTATGCTATGTGCCATTCAAAAACTATATTTAAACTCACAAGTCTAATCTCAGGACTTTCATTTTCCAAGCTGTGCACATCTGTCGAGCCCAGAGCAGGCCTTGATGTGACAAATGTAATGATGCTGATTTTCATAATGAATTTTGTATTGATTATTCCTGTCATTATTATTATGCATTGTTTATGTAAAAACTTAATAAGGGTACTAGGTATTCTATGTGACAATGAGTGTATAATTAAAAGAAACACTGACAATTGATAAAAACTTGGGTGTGATCAGAAAATCAATGGCTGCTGCATCATTCTGCACTGTGCTCTTGATGTTGCACATTTCACTGGGTTTGCTTGCTGCATGCAAATGGAGGTGACATATCTTCCATTGCTTATTGTTTAACTGCTTTCTTCTCTTCTATCTACACCCGACACTTCAGTATCAGTTGTATCTGGGGTACACACCCCACACTCGGGGTGGGGGGGCTCCATGTCAGTCTCTGGGACATAACCGTGCTGGTGTGCTCGCAGTTTTCTTGTAAACACATCTGCTTTTAGTGCAAATGGAGCCCAAGTAGACTACGATGCCTTTCTTTGCTTGTCCCCAAGACAAAAAGATATTCCACTCTATGAAACCAAAAACAGATTAAGCATCTCTCTAGTCTCTGTCAGTCTGGAAGCATTGTTCTTGTGTGAAAGGACAGAGATAATAGAGGCAGGCTACTGAGGGACAGTGGGTGTTATAGGTCAAGGCAGTTATGCTGTTAAGAAAATATCACCCAGCATGCTCTGTCTTATTCCTTTCCCTGCCTTTCTTTCTTCCCTGTCTCCCTTTTTTTTTTGTTTTTTTTTTTCAGCTTGCTCACTGTGAAGAGAGAAAATTAACCTGCGCCAGAGGACATATGTGCATGTGTTACAGTAAGCTAGGCAGGATAAAGCAGTGATGGTGCTAGCGTGTAAGAGCTGTCAAAAGGGTGTTTTTGTCCTGTGGAAACAGTAATCATTTCTTATTACTGTCCTTCGCCCAGCAGACGTTTATACCACAGCTGCTAGTTGTTTTTTCAGACCAGTTGTGAAGTAATTGTAAGCTGCTTGAGCTCTCCTCCTTTTCATTAGCAAATTATCATGTTCACACATCTCATGTGTTGTACGTATAAAGTGTCTGACTGGTCAAAGGTTGTTCAGATAAGGATTTATGATCTCCCACAATTCACTTTCTCAACATGACTCAGGCTCTCTTAATCCTCAAGGCAAGCACCGAGGCATGTTGCCAACAGAATTTATATCCATATATTTAGTTTCCAGCACTTGCATATATGATGAATTTGTTTCCAGGGCCAATGAGAAACTCTACAAGGCTGTACAAAAAATGTAATATGAACAGAACAAATGGTTTGTTGATCTAAGTTTGTCAGATATTGTAATTAGTGTTTGATTTGTCATATTGTGACCGATGAAAAGCAATTCCCCATGTTTTGAAATCTTTTAGTGTTGTGTAGCCAAGAAAAGAATGCTGATTACAAAGCTGTGGTCTGCGTCCTGCAGATGATTATTGAGGATATTTGTTTGGATGAAAAATTGAGGGAGTGCACAGTATTGATTAGTACAACAATGCACAAATAGAAGTACACTCCACCAGCAAAATTAAAAAAAAAAAAAGAAGCTTATATGGTGCAAGAAATGAAAAATGTATTTCTGAGTTCATCGAGCTAATATATGAGGTTCTCCAAGCAGATGAGCAAGGTCAAAAACAGGATCTGTAAAATCATACCTGGAAACATTCTATGTGCTTAAACATTCAGTATGAGGGCAGGAAATTTTGATTGACAGTTCTCACTGGGGGAACTTTTCTAAGGTAAGGTGTGCAATGTTCTGTTCATCTTTGCCAAAGGTTATGTCAGTGATTTAAAAGATTGGCATAATAAACTCAAAGCAGCACAGGCAATACTGCATATGTCATCAGTGTTGCAGTTGAATTGTATTGTCAGTTCTTCAAATATATATTTTTTCATTTGACAGCCTGATGTTTTCATAAGGTAAGTAATTTAAAGCAATATTCAGTGTTAGAGTTGGTTAACTTAGCTTAGCATAAAGACTGGATATGGTAATGTGCCTACCAGCACCTCTACGGCTCAGTAATTAACTGTCTGGTAATAATTATATGATGTGTTTAATCCACAAACAGTGTAAAACAATAAGCTCTATAGTGTGGTTTCTTAGCTTGGAGAAGTAACTTCATGAGGTCTCTGCTGGTTATCTCACAACCTCTTGAAAATGAAAAAACCTAAGGACTTTGGTTTCTTTGTGAATGAAACATAGGAGATATATTAAGTAGTGCACTTTAAGGGGTTCTGGTAGATGGGTTTAGTTACCTTTTGACAGCAATAATATCTGGGTACATCCCAAGTTTCTTATAAGCACCACTGATTTCTCACTTTCATCTTTTCCTTGTATCAGGTCCCGCCCACGTAAGATGTAAGAAAAAAATGCAAGGAAAACATGCAAGGAAAGAGGGCATGAAGAAACAAGTTATTAACGACATGAGACGTCCTGTCCTCTGATCCTTTCAATTGAAGCATCCAATCACAAACTGTAGATTCATAAAAAACCTCAGCAAAGAATGGTCTCTTGTAGTTTTGATCATGCCAATATAAGAGATTTAGAACATTCTCAGTTGACCATAACAAGTTCAGGGCCGAGCAAGGACAGAGGAAGAATAATATAAAAGATATGGAGTGTACCCTTTAGCTGTCTTATTTCAGGGCTGCTTTGAAGGACACGGTCTAACATTGTGTGGGCTTATGAAGTGCCACTCCTGTACCTAGAAGCCTTTGCAGCTGCTACTGCAAGCATGCAAAGAATCTTGGCATATGGTGGGTCATGAAGAATCACACCAGTTGGAGCCTATGTGTGAAAGAAGGCCTTGCTTGGTGAAAGAAGGGTGCATTTGAAGGAGCCATCTAAATGGGATGGCCTTGTTGCACCTCTGTGACGCAATCAGTCTTCAAATGCAGCCTTCAAAAGATGCGTCCTTTGACCTGGGACCCAGCTTCTGTCTGCAGACTGCAAGACAGTGGAAGGGGAGGAAGCCCTAACCCTTCTGCAAGCCACGCCTACCAGACGTCTTCTACTACAAGTTACGCCAAACTATGGCTGCAAACAGACACACATGTGGTTGGGGAAGAGGGGGGGTTTAGGGTCAGGGTTTCACCCGTCTTGTAGTCTACAGAGAGACTCTTCTGTTGGACAAAGCCGTATTAGTAGTTAACCCCAGTTTCGTGCCTTGGTGGTAAGCTAAACTAATCGGCTGCTGGCTATAGCTTCATATTTAAGTGACAGACTTGAGAATGGAACTGAGCTTTTTATGAAAATGAAAGAAGATACTTCACAAATTTTGAACAGTTCCTTTAAGGAGAACCAGACTTCCAATGAACATTTGCATAATTCACTTCATCATTAACATCACAGCAAATGCATAATCAGCACCACACTCAGTAATGCTATGCAGTCTTTCTGAAACATCGTGATTTCTTTAAGAATAACGACTTGCAAATCAATTATGCTAATAATTCTTAGGTCCTGTAAATGCTTTTATATCATTTCTATGAGCATATTTCACTATTGCACACCCTAATGCTTTTGCACTTACCAGCTTACCATCCACTGGCGTGGATATTTTCAAGGATGGTCGAGCTTGAGAGGTCTGTCTTTCTTTCTTTCTTTTTTTAACTAACATCAAGCATTACATCTATTCATCCATGAATTTAAGGATCCAAACATGTAATAACTAAATTCCAGTGATTACACTGAAAATGGAATCAGTGAAGTATAAGAGTTGTCTCAGGTTGTGAGGTGGGGGGGGGTTCTGTCTTTGCTGCAGAACAGCATTTCTTTGTAACTTTGCCTTTTGTGCATTGTATGTCACCTGTAAAATTCATTTGAATACTAATGCTTTAGAGCATTCGTTACATGTTCCAGTAGACCTCAGAGAAGAAAAAAAGAATAGTTCTTCTGTTCATGTGCAAATGGTGGAGGTCACAAATGCTTTGCAGTGCAGTAAAAGCAAAGTATTTTTATGAGTAACAGCTCTCTTCTAACAAAAGGACATTAGTGTCATCACTTGAAAATTACAAATTTTGAAATAACTTCTTCTCTCACTTCCAACTTTTCACTTCATTAGACACGTGCACATGTACAGTATAGGATGCATAACGAGAAAGCAGGGAATAAGAGCAACAGAGCATCAGTCAACAAAATACATGGTGCGGGTCTTATCACTTTTTATTACAATGAAATCCTTTCAACATTGCTGTATGACGTATGTACCCAGAAATGGAAACATCCAGTGTAATATATCACAATACACTGCATTTTATTAGTTACTTTCCCATCCATAATAAGTGGTCCCAGAGCAGCTTTGGTTTACTTAACATCAGGAATTCATTTGATGCATAAATCCACTTAACAGCTTGACTTTTATAACTGCAATTTCACTTCCCTTTGACAAAACGTCTGCTACATCTAGAGCCTAAAGTAATTTATCTAACTTGTAGCCACAGATTTAGAGTTAAATGAAGCTATCTTGTGTGTCTTGCTGTATATTCACACTGTGTGACAGACTGTAACCTTAATATAGTGCTTTCTTTGGAGATGCTACCTCTTTGTTTCATTGTTTCTTTGATTTATTTCCCTTGATCCTTCAACAGTTTTGCTTCCAACACCAGGGAAATCAACAAAGATCCATCAACAATTAAATGTATAAAATCTATAAGCAGCACACCTAGTCATACTGTTGTTTCCTGAGTAATAAAACATCACTATGGTTCTGATAATAAAGATGCTGTAGCAGTGTCCATGGAGGATCTCCTTTAGAAGTTAAAAAAAAGGTGTTCAGTTCTGCAGGAGAAATTTTCACTCTGGTAGCCTCAGACACTAGCACACACTCACACACTTCTATCTTTGTAAGGACACTCATTGACGTAATGCATTCCCTGGCCCCTCACCTTAATCCCTAACCATCAGAAATGAAACCTAATTCTACTCTGAACCCTAAAACCAAGTCTTAACCCTCAAAAATGTCCTCACTCTGTAGCAAAAATACTGTTTTGGTCCTCACTATGTAGCAAGTACAAGAACACAGACACACAGACATATAACTCAATCGCTCATCTCACACAGTTTGGTGAACTGACAGCTCCCTGTGTGACTGACAGAGAAGCTGACTTGACAAAACCCAAACAAAAGACAACAATAATAAATAAAATATGTGAAATATGTACACATTCATTCCAGATTCTTTCCTATGCCTACATTGTTATTTTAAATCAAGATGAGCTGAAATAAAATGCAGTATCATTTGGAAGCAGATGAAATTTAAATTTGGAGCAACAAATTGTATTAAAGCAGACAGTGTTTCATACCTCGAAGCATTGTGAGTCCAGCATAGCGCATGTAACAGCACAAACACTGCCACTGTTAACGGCTCTAAAATATTGCTCTTATTACATGTTGTCTGCATAGGGACTCCTTTTGACAGGGGTCCCTCAGGCTCAGTGCCATGGGCATCTCTGCTACCTCATGAGTGATGGCAGCATTAGTGCAGCTGAGGCATGCAGTGGTGCTCTGAAGCATCCTGATAGAGATAAAAAGTATCAAAAGCATCTTTATTACCACAGAGACTCCACAGTGCAGGTTGTTACAGGGCAGGAAAAAGCCAGCTACACAGGTATGAATGGGCAGTGGGTTGTTCTTTGATCACTGAGGTTTGACTGCCTTTACCAAGCTGAACCTTATGGTGGCTGGGATTTCCCCTGACTCCACTGCAACAGAGTCTTCTTCAGTAGGTTATAAAGTAGTGTTAAGTAGTGTGTGACATCTATCGACCTCTATTGGCAACCAAATAGCTGTGACAAAAATTATCACTGTGGCATAAATAATACAGCCACATTTT